ATTTATATATATATATATATATATATATATATATACATACAGTATAGAGAGAGAGACAGCAGAATGGATAGATAGACAGATGATAGATAGACAGACAGACAGATGAATGGATAAATTATTTATATATATATATATATATATATATATACATACAGTATAGAGAGAGAGACAGCAGAATGGATAGATAGACAGATGATAGATAGAGAGAGAGATGAATGGATGGATAGATAGACAGACAGACAGACAGATGGATAAATATATATATATATAGAGAGAGAGAGAGAGAGAGAGATAGATAGATAGATAGACAGATGAATGGATAAATTATATATATATATACACAGTATAAAGAGAGAAATGGATGATTGATAGATAGATAGATAGATAGCAGAATGGATAGATAGACAGATGAACGATATATATATATATATATAGAGAGAGAGAGAGAGAGAGAGAGAAATGGATGATAGATAAATGGAGAGATAGATAGATTGACAGAGGGATAGACAGACATCTATCTATTTCATTTACCAACCATAAGCAATAACAGCAAAACAAAGTTTCAATTGAATCGTTACTCAGGGGAGATGTGGATTTGGATGGGAAGAACATCGGCGGCTGGACTCCTCTGATGTACGCTGCATATATCGGTCACGATAACATCGCTAACCTGCTGCTGGAGACGGGTGTCAGTGTCAAGGCCACCACGTCTAAAGGACTCACACCGCTGATGCTCGCCGCCAGCTGCGGAAACGAGAGCATCGCCTACTTCCTACTGCAGGTCAGGTTTACATGAACAGTTCTCATCAACGAGTTGTTAGTTGGATTATACAGTTTATTTGTGTGAAAATTACAAGATTGCAAAAAAGCCAGCGCTCACTATACAATACTGAATGAAACCTCTTTCTGTACAGCAAGGAGCGCAGCTTGAATGTAAGGATGTGCGCGGGTGGACGGCTCTGCTGCACAGCACAGCTACTGGACATCAGCAGATGGTCAAATTCTTATTAGAGCATCACGCCAATGCAAATATCAAGTGAGTTACATGTGCATTCATTTATACAAAGCAAAACCTATGTTTTTGAACTCACCTTCTTCCTTACACAAACAGACTCTGTACATTAGCAGTCAACAGTTTGGAATAATTAGGATTTTGCAAATGTTTTCATGTTCACTGCATTTATATGTTTAAAAAGTACAGTAATCACAGTAATATTGTAAAATATTATTTCAGTTTAACAGAACTATTTGAATATATTTAAAAATATCATTTATTCCAGTGGTGCAAAGCTGGATTTTCAGCAGCCATTATTTCAGTCACAGGAATAAATGACATAAATTCCAATTTTGATATGGCGAATAAATTAGAAGAGATGTATTTTTTTATCATAAATTTGCTGGCAGCTTTGATAACTTTTTATCTTTTCATTTGCAAGATGATAACTCTCCGCCACTTATGTGACAGCAACATCACAGTTTATACATTAACAATACTGCATTTACTACTTAGCGTGCAATAAATGCTAGTATTTCATTCTGGGCATAATCTTGCTTAAACAGCTTGTAAACATGTTAAATCTTTGAACTTTGCCCTCACAGAGAGCCGCTGTCAGGATTCACACCGCTCATGGAAGCTGCTGCGTCCGGCCATGAAATCATCGTTCAGTACCTGCTCAACCATGCAAGTGTGACCTTACTCTGAAATGTGATGTACTTTAAATTAAAAATCTAATTATATGTAGAATAATTATGGATTGGCATCAATCTGACGATGACAACTCAATGCATCCAGTATGAAAACTAATAATAAATTATGAATTAACATTAGGTATTGAAAACAAAATTCTAACCTGATCCAAAACTACTTCTTGGTATACACTGGCTCTCTAGTTAAACTTAAAGCTTAGTTTTAAAAATAGCTACACATCGAACAAAAAC